CCCTCGGTGCTAATTGTGACTAAATGCAATATGAGACATTATCCTGTGATCATTACTGCGTACATTCATCAAAGGCCACCTTTAGCTTAGCGGTGGTGACTTGAAGTCATGTGACCATGCTGTACTTCCTTTATAGCCTAACGTTAGCCACCTTTAGCTTAGCGGTGGTGACGTGAAGTCATGTGACCGTGCTGTAGTTCCTTTAGAGCACTTCAGAAACCATATCTTATGTCGGCTGTAGAGTTTATACGGAGCTTACTTTCTGCAATAACCTAAAATCCAATGGAGAAATGCTATTGGCTTTTCGTTGAGGGAACCAGGGAGATGATGCCTTCAGGGTCAGCTTACACAAATCCATCATCCCTACACCACTTTTTATTAAAACACAATCACCTCATGTGTTTAATGAAAGGCTTTGACAGAACTGGTCCATGACCACCAGCATCCAAACATCAGATCTGATTCCGTTTGGCATCAAATGCTCAGGTAACAAACTTCATGATGGTATTTGTAGACAAACATCTGAGGAGGGAAACATTCTGATATTTAGTGGTTCTTACCTTGTTATTCGTGCTGCTTTGTTTTCTTTTAGGTGGGGCACGGCCTATCAGGTATTGAGCAGCAGGTGCTTATGGTTGCATTTCTCCTCTGCTCATTACAGACTTCTAGATAAGTCAACAGGTCGCAGATGACGCCCACACAAGAATGTAAAACAAGTCACCTTTATTTATACGGAGCCACTTCATTTGAATTAGACCCAGTTAATGAGGAAGTAATGATGGTTTATTACAACTTTAAAGGTTCAGGCCATTGTCCCTCTGACGGTGTTACTGCCCCCTTTTAGGTATTATTGCTGTGCCTGTTATTATTATAATGTTCCTATGAGATGAATGTCGTTCAGTTAGCGGTGGAAGATTTACGACTCATTTGTTGTAATATATTTAACTTTTTAACCTCGATTGTAAACTAAAATTGCCTCATTTTCAGTAGGTTATTGTCAATTTTGCTTGATGAAATGACAACTGTTCCTGCAGATTTGCTTAGTTTTAGCTATGTAGTAATGCCTAATTTATATTCTGTGTATTAAGAGATTGAGATTTTTTTTCTTTTCTGAGAAAAGTCAGAATTCGGAGATTTTCAAGAAAAACTAAATATTTTTTTCTGAATTTTGGGGAAAAATAGATAAATAATAATCTAATTAATTTAATAATTATATGGCAGTACCACCACAGCCTACTAAATGTAGCTTTTAAGTCAATTTTCCTTAAAAAAAACAATAATTCTGATCACCTTTTTCCCCCAAATCCAATAGAGAAATGTCTCCTAAAGAAAACCAAAGTTGTAATGAACCAGAATGATCCTTTCTTTAAGTCAAAACCATGAACACTACGAGCCTCAGTTCAAAACTCATGGCAAACAAATCCATGCATCCAGATGTAATGATCTGAAGCTGTGACATGAATATTCACATCCATTTAGAGCTGGACAGACAGACGGGGGTTCAGTGAATGTCACGGAAAGCACTTTTCACGTCTATATGTATTCCTCGTGGACTTCCTGCTGCGTGATATATCACTCAGAAGATGTGAGGCAGCGTGATAATGGCTTTTTGGTTACGAACGTCTGCCAACGGTCTACTTATGCATGCTTTGCCTCTCACCTGCAGGGAGACGACACCAGCAACAATCCTCCATGAGCCAGAGGATCTCTTATAGCGTTTTTATTTGGGAACATAATACTGTTGTGTCTCTTGATCTCCTCTCACTGTGTCTCTGGATCTTACAGTAATCCCTTTCTCCATGCTTCCACAGGCTCTTTTTTAAGCCTATTAAGTTGTTGCAGCACTTGGCAGAGGATCACGCTCCTTTTTTGGGCTTTCAGGTCATAAATAATGAGTGCACTTTTTAACACATTTTACAGCCGTCTTTTCAAAAACCTGTCTCTTTAAAAATGACTTAAAGGCAATGTGAATGAGCAGCGACTCGGACATCTTTGGAGGATTACTTAGGATAACTTAACCCTTAAATGGCCATTCAATATATTGATATTATCTAATTACACTGTTATTACACCCATGCTACACTGTTATAGACCCTTATTACACCCCTATGACACATTGTCATTGAACCCATGTTACACCATAATACACCCGTATTACACCCATGTTACACAGTTATAAGACCCATACAACACCAATAGTACCACCATATTACACTGTAATTACAACACATTTTACACATGGGCACAACCTATCAAATACATGTTTTGGATGAGAAACAGCTGACAGATTACTGCGAAACGCTGACTATTGCCAATATGTTTCTGCTACATAGCCTACAATTCTCCCGCCTTTTTTTTAGTTTCACTTCCTGTCGTGATTGCGGTTGAGATTTGCCTTATTTCCTGAAACTCGACCTCGTTGATTTTGCAAACACAGAATAAGCAGAAGTTGTGTTTGTCATGGATCAGTATTTAAAATCAAACATATTATTTTCCTGCAGGACATCCATGATGCTTTGGACAATTCAAGAATGTGTTTTGCTGCTCGAAGCAAAGCATGATGGGTAATGGAGTCTTTTCAAGAATGTGTTTTGCTGCTCGAAGCAAAGCATGATGGGTAATGGAGTCTTTTCCTGCAAAGTAGCTTCTTTTTCTTTTGCCAAACAAAAGGTCGATCTTGGGTTTTAAGAGATTTTTGGTCGTGTTAAATTCCTTTGCACATGTGTAAATACTGTACAGCGTGTGGGGTGGGGGGGGGTACATTTGACTGTTTAAATTTGCTGTGATGGATTTCATTTGACTTATTGATTTGGTTCACATCATCCATGGGACGATGTAATATATATTTACAGGTTAATACTGTTGGTGTGCTCGTGCTAACTGTCTTTGGTTTGCCAACTGTTTGTGAATGTGTGTAGCTGGTTAACAAATCAAATGGTCTTTTTCTGTCTGGGCTTTTTAGGAAATTAAACGGTCTTCTTTTGGGACAAAAAGTAAACCTCAACATTTGAACAGCTCTGATCCACGACTAGCTGACACCGTACTGCTTTCACTATCTCCTGAAACTCAGATGTTCTGCTTAAAATACACCTGAAGTATGGATTTAGGAATAAAGTCTATTTTTCTGTTAATTTCTAGATTTCTTCACGGATAAATAAGCAGTTTGGAGTTGAGACACAGCGTGCTCTTTTATCCAGTAAGTTAGTTTTTCTACTTGTCACTCAGCAATAAGATCTGCTCCCCTTCACTGAGATCTGATTCTTCCTGTGATGAATTTCATAAGCTGCTAAACTGAAATAGTCCTGGATCAGAGCTGCAAATTAAACATATGTCCCGGGTCAGAAGAAGACCTCCTCTCACTTTTGTACGAACAACTTTCTGCTCTTGTCATTGTAAAATATTTTGAAGAGAAAATTAAATGAAGTTTATCAAAAGTGGTGTTCAATTTGTCGATCACTGTTGAATTGATTTAGATAAAATTATAATATTATAATAAAAAAAGAAACACAAAATTCTAATAATTACATAAAAAATAATAACACAAAATGTTGTTAAATAAATACATTAAAAATAATGATACAGAAATTACGATAAAGAATACAATAAATAAATAAAAAACATGAAATATATACAAAATGTCTGTATTTTCCGTATTTATTTATGCATTTATTTACTATTTTATTTAATTATTCATGTGTTTATTTCCACATTTATTTATCTCTACATTTATTTATTTATTCCTGTATTTTATTTTGTTTATTTACATTACATGACATGTCACTTGTTAGACGCTTTGATCCAAAGCGACTTACATACTCAATACTGTGGGCAATCCCCACAGGAGCAATTTGGGGTGAAGTGTCTTAGGGACACAACGACATGCTGACTGCAGTGGGGTTTGAACCCTGATCCAAACACCAACGCACTAGTCCACTGCGCCACAGCATCCCTATTTATTTTATTAATGTTTTTATTCATACATTTATTTATTTATGTATACATATGTCATGTTCCGTCCTCCATATAAGTGAGGGTCTGAGCTCTCTTAATCCCATCGTGGTAATATGAGTGTTGTAAAACTGTGTTCAACCGATCTTTAGCTCTATCTGAAGCAAACATCACGTGGTATCGACGGGCAGCGAGGCTTCGTTTGTCATCGATGACGTCACTGGCCTGAAACGACACAAGCCTCGTTTCACGCTTCACCAAAAACGTCCTGGATTACTCGAACCACGATAAGCAGCCTCGGCGCAGTACGTCACGTCACTACTGTTCCCTCCTCAGCTCTTGTCTCCTCGGCTCTTGTCTCCTCAGCTCTTGTCTCCTCGGCTGATTTCTCTAATTGATTTCACCTGATGAGGAGGAAGCTGCTCGCTCATTCAGCTGCAGGTTTCTGCTCCAACATCTCAGAAGAATACCTGTAGCTGCTCAGGTGAATCTGAAGATCTTTTGTCATGTGGAGCCAAGGTGAGTTAGCAGATATACAAAAATATATATATATTTGAACGATTTATTTCTCATTGTTTTAATTTGTTTAGCATTTGTGCAGGTGGCAGTCAGCCCTCTGCAGGCGGAGTGAACAGCAGCTCAGCAACGGTGTGTTACTCTGTTACTGTTGGTTTCATCTGAACTGCAACTGTTGACCTATTGACAGTGTAATAAAGCAAAAAGTACAATTCCCCCCAAATCTATCGGGTACACCTTTTTAGCAAACTGAATTCCAACTTATTGCCATGTTTATGGTTAAAAAAAACAAATGTACACAAAATCAAACCTTTTTTTTGAGTGAAAATTGTCAATTAGTTATTTTGTTTTGCCTGAAGTTGAGATCAAATGAGCTTGATGTTTTTTCACTGGTAAATGTCAAAGTATTTTTGTTACAAACTATTTCACATTTGTAATTCCCACGAGGATAAGAGGTGCTATACAATTGAATAAAACTCCCAAAATCCAAAGTATAAATTATAATTCTTCTTGCAAACGCCGTGCTTTGGAACCATGCATGTTATTGCAGGCGTTTGGGTAACTTGTGTTTTTATTGTGTTTTTCACTGCAGTTGCATTAAAAACCCCTTAAAGCATTTATTTACAGCTCATATTAAACTTTGATGCGTTTGCTCTCCACAGATGACCGTCCTTCAGATCTTGCCGTGTTCGGTGTCTCAGCTGCTGTCTGCGTCTAAAGTCAGTAGCGACACGTTTGCACTCTGCGACCTGGAGTTCAACCAGGTGTGAGACATCACCATCTAAAGAGGATTTCACTCTAAATGCATATCTTTTAGTTAAAGGTGGGGTAGGTAAGTTTGAGAAACCGGCTCGAGATACACTTTTTGTTGTATTCCATGGAATGCTCTTAACATCCCGATAGCAATGAATATCTGAAGTGCTTTGACAAAAAATACATAAATAAATATCATCTGTGGAAGCTGTAGTACTGTAAAAAGCACGACCAATCATCTGAGCCGGCCCGGCTAAAATAACTGGATGGCCTACCTGCCTGTCAGCCTTCCATCTGTGCACAAACTTATCTCGTGCCCTCATTGGTCATGTGCGCGTTCGTGTGTGTTGGAGGAGGGGCTCTGGAAGGAAGTGGCAGATTTTTTCCGGCTGTGTATTTTCAAATTCTAGCGATCTCGAGCCGGTTTCTCAAACTTACCGACCCCACCTTTTAAGATATGGGAAAAAGAAAAAAAAAGTTAAGATATGGGACATTCTATGATGAACAAGTCAGTATAAAACTTTCCAAGAACGTCAAAAATTAAGGTTTGGCCAACAACTTCAATGGAAAATGTATAACCATGCTTTCTTGGACACTGTTCAGAACTCCATTGAAAATCCTGGAAGTTTTAAAGCCACTCAAACACAGAATATCTTAAATGGCCACATTTCTGAATGTATTTTGGTTTAATGATAACTTGTGTTTGCTTCCTCAGGTGTCGGTCGTTGGCGTCGTCAGAGAGTTGGCTCCTTTTGTGAAATACGTCCAATACTGTTTGGACGACATGACGGGTCCTCCTCTGACCGTGAGGCAGTGGGTGAACTCGGAGGCCAGTAACAGATTTTTTTTCCTCAAAATTCGTACTTGTTTCTCAAAATTCTGAATTTGTCTCAAAATTCTTACTTGTTCTCAAAATCTCAAAATTCGGACTTTCTCAAAATCCTGACTTTTTCTCAAAATTCGGACTTTTTCTAAATACTTAAAAATGTTAATAATCCCTGGTCTCCGGCTTGAGCTTCAATCTCAGGATCCATGTATCTGTGATCCTCTCCAGAATGGAAGTAGTCATCACACACAGAGCATCAACTAGTTCCTGAACAGTGTCCTTCACATGCTGATATCCAAGAGAGGGAGTTACACAGTCACAAGATGGAGGAATAGAAAGCAGTATTCAATGTTTACTTCAGATTAGCTCCACGTCAGAAATGAGCATGCTTGTCATATGTCTATCTCCATAGAGGCTGAATCATCATGTTAATCACATAGCTATCATATGCCTCAAACAGTCCTGATGCTCTTCTAGGTAATCATACATCCTGTCATGTTCACAGCTACAGTTGGGATACCTTAGTTATCATGTGGACTCTGATGTTGGAAGAGGACATTCAGTATTTTCCCAACAAACAGGATATCTTCAGTCCAGATAACACTGTAAACTACACTTATAATAACATGATGTTTCCCACAGGACTGTACTCCCCTGGTGTTTGCTTCTCCTGGATCGTATGTGAAAGTTATTGGAAGTCTGCGCAGCTCTACTGTAAGTTAATGAGGAGGTTAACGAGGAGTTTGATTGATTTTTCTGTGATGTTTTCCCTTTGTTTTGTTGCTTCAGGGTGAAAGGTCATTGCAGGCCAAACACATCCGAGTTATCACAGACCTGAATGAGATCACATCCCACATGCTGGAGGTGGTGCACGCTCACATGCAGATCTTTAAAAAGGTAAGCAAGGTTCATCTTGTTTAACTAAGCTTTATTTGAAACAACTTAAATGGGAAATGCATTCTCAGTGTGCTTCAGTCCAGATTGTTCTTCCATCAGTTACAGGCCTCTGATCATTCTCAGTGTGCTTCAGTCCAGATTGTTCTTCCATCAGTTACAGGCCTCTGATCATTCTCAGTGTGCTTCAGTCCAGATTGTTCTTCCATCAGTTACAGGCCTCTGATCATTCTCAGTGTGCTTCAGTCCAGATTGTTCTTCCATCAGTTACAGGCCTCTGATCATTCTCAGTGTGCTTCAGTCCAGATTGTTCTTCCATCAGTTACAGGCCTCTGATCATTCTCAGTGTGCTTCAGTCCAGATTGTTCTTCCATCAGTTACAGGCCTCTGATCATTCTCAGTGTGCTTCAGTCCAGATTGTTCTTCCATCAGTTACAGGCCTCTGATTTCAGTCTCTGCTCATATTCATTTTTCTCCATCTGTTGTTGATACAGAAATTTGATGTGAACATGAACATCACTGCTGTCCCATCAGAGGATTTGCCCTCCGTCCAGGGTCAGGTGAGTCAGTTGAGTCAGTTTAGAGGGTCAGTTCACACAGATAATGACTTTTGTCATTTAACAAGATGAATGAAACAATATTATAGAAAGTTTAATATGTGTACATCTCAATAAATCATGCTGTGGAGAACACATATGGGTAATAAATATACTACTGTATGGTATATTATCTCTCAGTATATTGAGGTGATTTTTTGGGGAGCTTATTGTCAGTGACATTTACTAAATATTGCAAATAATCACAAAGTATTCATACAATTGCATCCAAAACACTTTCCACTCTGTGATGAGAAACCTCTGAGTCCTCGTCTGTAGAAAAAAAGGCTCATTGATGAAAATGACAAGTTAAACATGTCATGCATTTAGAGCAGGGGGGTCCAAACTTCTTTCACCGAGGGCCACATACAGAAAAATATACGAAGGGCTTGGCCACTCACTACAGGTGAGGTATATCGCCTCATAAGTTCAGTTATAAGTTAGCAAAATCAATCAGATGTCGGTAAATGATGCTTGTGAGTGTTGGCAGCTCATCCTTAAAACAGAAGCCTCAGAGTGATTATAATAGATAGATAGATAGATCGTACTTTATTGATCCCAAATTGGGAAATTGTTTTTGTTACAGCAGCATAAAAGGCATTTTACAATAAAACAAAATATACAAGAATAGAAATAAAATAAAATAAAATATAAAATAAAATATAAAATATACATGTCAAAATACAAAATAGAAAATATACATACAGATATTATATATATATATATATATATATATATATACAAATATATATATATTCAAAATATATGGAATTATGGAGTATTAAATATGAAACAGATTATGTGTGAGTAAAATGTACAAGGTGGTTTTATTTCTAGAGAAACTATGGAGCAGAGAGTTCTCTTCCAGCCAGAGGTGATTTGTTGTACAGTGTTATTGCAGTGGGCAGGAATGTTTTCCAGTATCTGTCCTTGTGACAGGGGAGCTGCAGCAGTCTGTTGGAGAAGGAGCTCCGTTGACTGTCCAGCTGCAGGTGGAGAGGATGGGTGGGGTTATCCATGATGGACAACAGCCTGTTCAGTGTCCTCCTCTCCACCACAGCTTCAAAGGGTTCCAGCTTGATGCCGATGACTGACCCAGCTTTCCTGATCAGTTTATTGATCCTGCTGGTGTCACCGGCTCTGATGCTGCCCCCCCAGCAGACCGCAGCAAAGAAGAGTGCACTAGCCACAACAGACTGATAGAAGATCTCCAGCATCTTACTGCATACGTTGAAGGATCTCAGCTTCCTCAGAAAATAGAGTCTGCTCATCCCCTTCTTGTACACAGCGTCAGTGTTGATCCTCCAGTTCAGCCCATTGTCTAAGTGCACTCCCAGGTACTTGTAGACCTCCACAACTGCCACATCCTCTCCCAGAATGCACAGGGGCAGAGGAGGAGATGTCCTCTTCCTCCTGAAATCAATGACCATCTCTCTGGTCTTGGCCACATTCAAAAGCAGATGATTTCTTCCAGTCCACTCAACAAAATCACCCACCAGCGCTCTGTACTCCTCCTCCCGTCCATCCCTTATACACCCTACCACTGCAGAGTCATCCGAAAACTTCTGCAGGTGGCATGACTCTGAGTTGTATAGAAAGTCAGAGGTGTATAAGGTGAACAGGAAAGGAGACAGCACAGTCCCCTGTGGGGCTCCAATACTACCAACCACCACATCAGACAGCACACTGCCCAGCCGGACGTACTGTGGTCTGTCCGTGAGGTAGTTGGTAATCCAGGAGATGGTGGACGAGTTTACCCTCATAGCCTGCAGCTTGTCACTCAGTAGCCGAGGCTGGATCGTGTTGAATGCACTGGAGAAATCAAAAAAGGTGATTCTCACAGTGCAACCCGATCCATTCAGGTATGAGTGAGCACGCTGCAGCAGGTAAATAATGGCATCGTCCACCCCCAGGTGAGGCTGGTAGGCAAATTGCAGAGGGTCAAGGAATGATCTCACCTGCGGTCTGAGATGGGCCAAGACCAGTCTCTCAAGCACCTTCATCACATGAGATGTGAGTGCTACAGGGCGATAGTCATTGAGCCCAGAAGGAGTTGTCTTTTTAGGGACCGGAACAACGCATGATGTCTTCCACAGCACCGGGATGGTCTCCAAGTGCAGGCTCAGGTTGAATATATACTGGAGAACAGGAGCCAGCTGGCGTGCACAGGTCCTCAGGACCCTGGGGCTGATACCATCAGGGCCAGCAGCCTTGCCTTGGTGGAGTTTTTCCATCTGACTCTGGACCTGTCCTGTGCTCACAGTGAAGCGGGGGGGGGGGGCTTGATGGCAGGGGGGGATAGAGGGGGGGGGGGGGCTGAGGCAAGATGAGCAGGGGGGGGGGGGGGGGGGGGGGGTCAGCGGCAATGTGAGCAGAGGGGGGGTGCAGAAGCCAGGCTGAGAGGAGGAGGTGAGGTGAGAAGAGGAAGTGGAGGAGACAGCAGCGGGCGGAGAGCTAAACCTATTGAAGAAGGTGTTCAGCTCGTTGGCCCTCTCCAGGGTGCCCACAGTCAGTCTGTCTCTCCCTTTGAAGCCAGTGATAGCCTTCATCCCAGCCCAGACATCCCTGCTATTGTTCTGCTGGAGCTTAGTCTCCAGCTTCTTCCTGTACGAATCTCTGCCCCTCCTCAAATTGTCTCTCAGTTGATGCTGGATACTCTTCAGCATTGATTTGTCCCCAGACTTAAAAGCTTCCTTTTTCTTATTTAAAAGAGTTTTCAGGTCACTAGTAATCCAGGGTTTATTATTGGGGAAACAGTTGACAGTTTTAGCCGGTAATAAGGAGAAATAGGAAGGTTGTGTTTCAAGCTTGTTATGTAAATAAGTCATTGGGCTTTTTCTTATCAACTAAGATATGTTAGAAAATGTTTCCAACTTTAATTGAGTGAATTTATTTGAAAAGTGGTCTTAACACATGAACACTACTGTGTACAGTACAATTTAAGACAAGCACAAGTTTCATTTGTGGGCCATATTCCATTATACTTTTTTAGTTAGCTGAGGGCTGATTCAAAATGGTCCGCGGGCCGTAGTTTGGACACCCCTGATCTAGAGAGATGCCGTTTAAAGTCTCCTCTTGTTTCCCGTGGAGGTGCTGCATGTGATCAGGAGAGGATCTGTGCGAGACATCGGGATCGGATACAAGGAGCTGCAGAGCCAGCTGGACTTCCTCAGCCTCAGAGACATCAAGTACCCTCATTCATTTGAACATATACACATATTCAGTAGTGATGGGAATTACAGCTCTTTGAAGGGAGCCGGATCTTATGGCTCCGTTCCTTTCCGAGAGCCGTTCAAAAGGGCCGGGGTTACTAGGTTTATCTGCAAAAGAATCACCAGGATAATGATTGACTGTTTTGCCAGAAATCTACTTTTACTCACAGACAAATGTATAACTTGCTTCATCTCTCAGCCAAACTACTCGAGCAGCGTTATGCCATCATCTATACGGCAACTTTGCATTCAGGAAAGCAAGATCCCGTGAAGGGGAGTGGATTTATGGCAGGCAGTTTCAAGGTTTGAAGTTTCAAGGCTTTTATTGTCATGTGAACATAGTTACAGTGGAGATATGACAATGGACAGCTTAGGTCACAGGCTCCTCCAGCAGAGCAACACAATAACACAGATACAATCAAATAGAATATAATAGAAACAGAATATAATAGAAACAGAATATGATAGAAACTGTGCAGAATAGTCTATATACAGTAATTGGAATATTGATATATGTGAGTTGCAAACAGATGAATGTTATGTTCTTTGAAAAGTTCAGATGTTTAACAGTCTTATGGCCTGTGGGATGAAACTGTCCCTGAGTCTGGTGGTTTTAGTGAACCAACGATAAAAAGAACGGCTCTCACCAAGTACGACTCGGTTCCCTTCGTTCGTACCAAAGAGCCGTTCAAAATAATCTGATTGTTCGCGAACGTAACATCACTAATATTAATATTCAGCTTATACTGGGTGGTAATAAGCCAGAAAGACATTCTGAATAATTTATTTATCACAGGGAAAAATTGGGTTTTGATAGATGCTCCATTTTTTAATAAAATAGAAAAATACTAAGATAAAAGACTTAGCAAATTACCCAAAATGAAGGTAAAGGAAGAAGACAGCAAAGAGGTGTCAGCCTACATATTACATTCACTCTGAAAAGTTTCAGGAACAAAGATTCTCTCTCTTTTTGATCCATTTCTATAAAAACCTGTCTGAAAATGAGCTGATCAGATTTTGGCCACTTGATGATGTCATAACGATGTTTTGTCTTGTGTAACCATTAGCCAATCAGCAACCAAGGTACCCCCCCCCCCCCACCTTATCACCTGAATCTCCTCCTAGAGCACCATTGAGTTCTTTGTAACCAAATGTCTCTCAGAGGGGCGTGGGGAGGGGCTCCTTATTTTCATCTAAAGTAACAGACAGAGAATCAGCACTTTGGAAACAGGGCTGAAACAGAGGGGATTATGGGTAATGCTGCAATGATCTGTTTGGTGTTTCAGCCAATCAGAGACATGTGTATCTGAGACCCATATAGTTGGAAATGACTAATAGGGGACCTCTAATTGCACGGTTCAATGGTTACTCAAAGTCAGATCTTTCTTTCTTCTGTACAGATCCTCTTTGACGTCTCTGATGGATAAAGGTTTCGTCTATCACACCATCGACGAGAACCATTTCAAGTCCACAGACCGTTAGCAGGATGAACATCTCTGTACCCACATGTTCAGGGTCATATAAAGCTCTGTTAAATATAGTTATTTATGACGTACTGCAGCTATTACCCACAGACAGAAAAGGAGACTCACTGGGTTTATCGCTGATCCTCTTGTTCTTAGAATGAATGCACTGATGTTTTCCTCAGGCTCTTTTTGTTTTAAAATATATATATTTAAGTTATGCGCTGGTTGTGTGGGTACCCTGCAAAGGTCCTGATGGTTGTATATAAAGATTTAAGTTTAAAATGTCTCATGTCTTTATTTAAGATGTTTGTCTGTCCCTGTACAGTCCACCTGTCTCCATGCAGTCCACCTGTCTCCATGCAGTCCATCTGTCTCCATGCAGTCCACCTGTCTCCATGCAGTCCACCTGTCTCCATGCAGTCCACCTGTCTCCATGCAGTCCATCTGTCTCCATGCAGTCCATCTGTCTCCATGCAGTCCATCTGTCTCCATGCAGTCCATCTGTCTCCATGCAGTCCACCTGTCTCCATGCAGTCCACCTGTCTCCATGCAGTCCACCTGTCTCCATGCAGTCCATCTGTCTCCATGCAGTCCATCTGTCTCTCTGCAGTCCACCTGTCTCCATCTGTCTCCATGCAGTCCATCTGTCTCCATGCAGTCCATCTGTCTCCATGCAGTCCATCTGTCTCCATGCAGTCCACCTGTCTCTCTGCAGTCCACCTGTCTCTCTGCAGTCCACCTGTCTCCATGCAGTCCATCTGTCTCTCTGCAGTCCATCTGTCTCCATGCAGTCCATCTGTCTCCATGCAGTCCATCTGTCTCCATGCAGTCCATCTGTCTCCATGCAGTCCATCTGTCTCCATGCAGTCCATCTGTCTCCGTGCAGTCCATCTGTCTCCGTGCAGTCCATCTGTCTCCGTGCAGTCCATCTGTCTCCGTGCAGTCCATCTGTCTCCGTGCAGTCCACCTGTCTCCGTGCAGTCCACCTGTCTCCGTGCAGTCCACCTGTCTCCGTGCAGTCCACCTGTCTCCGTGCAGTCCACCTGTCTCCGTGCAGTCCACCTGTCTCCATGCAGTCCACCTGTCTCCATGCAGTCCACCTGTCTCCGTGCAGTCCACCTGTCTCCATGCAGTCCACCTGTCTCCATGCAGTCCACCTGTCTCCATGCAGTCCACCTGTCTCCATGCAGTCCTGATTTAGTTTTGAGAATCCGAGGTAGAAAAGAATAAGGCAAAGGTAACAAACTACAACAGGTGTGTGACATGTATTTAAACACAGTTATGGTCGTTCAGAAGCTGCTTCACAAACCCATGAGCTGTGTTTAAACCTCTGTAGAGATAATGTGTTGTGTGTGTGTGTGTCTCGGTTTGTCTGCGGCTAATTCACACACACTACTGAACCCATTAGTCTAATGTCTAGTGCACGTTTATGACTGAATACTTAAGGATCTCTCCAGGTTTCAGTAGTTTCACACATTTTGAAGAAGCAGTATTTTTGACTGTTTTATACCATAGTTTCATTCAGTGGCAAAAGGCATTTCTGTCACTCTGCTAGATTATGTTGAACCAGAGTTTAAGATTAATTCATTTTTGTTTTGGTGATCTTCCCCACCATCATGACTGTAAGGAAGCCTGGAAGGACCATTTTGGTGACATTCGGCTCAACTGAGGCGTAGGCTCCACGAGGACGAAAACGGGTTGAATCCGCATATTTCTCATGCGTATAGCCCTTTAAGCTCGACGACGCCATAAGGGAAACGTAGAAACAGACCCCGCAAACGACAACGGGTCCAAAGGTGGATAGATCTGGGAACGGAGCGCTCTGGGGGGTCCAACGGGGCCGTGGGGTCGCCTATACGGTCATGCGTTTCATAGCCCCGCCTCTCCCCACCTCTGCTGCTCACCTCCGCAAAAGTACACTGCACACTGAATTCAGATTATTTATCTTTATCTCGATATGAACATAAACGCGAGTGAAGTCTAATCTGACAGGACGGAGACACGCAGCTCCTCCCGCTGTGAAGCAGCGAGAGCAAAACACACACTTCAAGTCAGATCACCACCCGTAGCTATTTTAATTACCTCTAAAACTAAACTAGTTATAAATATGTTTATTTTTACTGTCGGGTTTACTTACTGGATCAGCTGCTGCATGAGGAAGCATGAAGATTTAAACTTTAACACACATTGACCGGCGAAAAACTCTGCGCGGTTCCCTCGGCCCCCACCGCGGAGAATAAACAGAAGTGCAGCCATGACAACCATTCTTCTTCGCTGCTTTTGTGGAGGAAGTTGCTGCTTTTGTGGAGGAAGTTACAGCGCCACGTACAGGTTCGGCATATGTACTGCAGCTTTTCCAGCGGTTGGATGTAAACGGAGCTGTCTCGTGGAGCTTGACACAATCCGGTGTATATTGCGTGTGGTCGGAAGGTTTTTTGCGGTTGCGTTTGCGTTACTCCGATGCGTTTTGCCGTATTTGTTCTCGTGGAGCCGGGGCCTGAGGTACATCTTTCGTATAGTTTTCCAATAAAGATGTACCGTATCTGCTCAATGTGTTTGGGCTTTGTTTATGTATCTCACTCACACTCTTCCCTTGAGACCCGGATCGAGAAAACTAAGATAATATAGGTCAGGAATATGAGCTGTAAACAGAATTAGGCAGATGCAAACAGTGGTGCATTATGTATGCATACATATATACTGTGTGTGTACTGTGTATAGGGATGATTTATATAAAGACTGTTGCGATTCTTAGTGTCTCTAAATGTCTTAGCTGGCTAACTACTTCTGTTTAAGTGCATGTACATTAGTTTAGTCCCAGAACAGATGCATTGTGGTCCTTTTTTAGAGGCTGTTTCACACCTCAAATTGAGGTATAAACCATAATGTTGGCCATTTTTTAATGCTTTTTGTCTTTTTTAAAGACACTGTTGTCAAACCAGATTTAAAGAGTTTTCTAATCGGAACAGAAGTATTCTAGTCACTAGCTGAGGTTGGAACAGAAGTATTCTAGTCACTAGCTGAGGTTGGAACAGAAGTATTCTAGTCACGAGCTGAGGTTGGAACAGATGTATTCTAGTCACGAGCTGAGGTTGGAACAGATGTATTCTAGTCACTAGCTGAGGTTGGAACAGAAGTATTCTAGTCACTAGCTGAGGTTGGAACAGAAGTATTCTAGTCACGAGCTGAGGTTGGAACAGAAGTATTCTAGTCACGAGCTGAGGTTGGAACAGAAGTATTCTAGTCACGAGCTGAGGTTGGAACAGAAGTATTCTAGTCACGAGCTGAGGTTGGAACAGATGTATTCTAGTCACTAGCTGAGGTTGGAACAGAAGTATTCTAGTCACGAGCTGAGGTTGGAACAGAAGTATTCTAGTCACTAGCTGAGGTTGGAACAGAAGTATTCTAGTCACTAGCTGAGGTTGGAACAGATGTATTCTAGTCACGAGCTGAGGTTGGAACAGATGTATTCTAGTCACTAGCTGAGGTTGGAACAGATGTATTCTAGTCACGAGCTGAGGTTGGAACAGATGTATTCTAGTCACTAGCTGAGGTTGGAACAGAAGTATTCTAGTCACGAGCTGAGGTTGGAACAGATGTATTCTAGTCACGAGCTGAGGTTGGAACAGAAGTATTCTAGTCACTAGCTGAGGTTGGAACAGAAGTATTCTAGTCACTAGCTGAGGTTGGAACAGATGTATTCTAGTCACGAGCTGAGGTTGGAACAGAAGTATTCTAGTCACTAGCTGAGGTTGGAACAGAAGTATTCTAGTCACTAGCTGAGGTTGGAACAGAAGTATTCTAGTCACGAGCTGAGGTTGGAACAGATGTATTCTAGTCACGAGCTGAGGTTGGAACAGAAGTATTCTAGTCAGGAGCTGAGGTTGGAACAGAAGCAGTGGCGTCGCCTGGCCTGGGCATCCGGGGCTTTAGCCCCGAATGTTTTTTCTGTAGCCCCGGACAATTCTCCCTCAATAATATAATACATTAACCGTGCTTTACGTGAACCTCATCATGACACAAGAGAGGACGGCAGCACTGTAATTTCCCATGTTCAGTGAATGCAACAGAGGCATGACACCAGACCAATCAGAGAGTTGCATGGAAATAAACGTGTGCTTGTGTCATTCAAGCTCGGCTCTGTGTGTGTGTGTGGCAATAGCGCATTGTGTGATAGAGAGAGAGAGAGGGAGGGAGGGTCCGGTGTCAGCATGGACGGTGTTGTTAGCATCTGGTTAGCTAGCTTCACTAACGGACATAAGGAGCTGTTTGTTCCACAAGAAGCTGGAGGAGAGTCCTCTCCTCTCAGACTGAGAGACTCAGGTGAGCTAAAGGACTCTCTGAGTGTTTAGATAGTTAACTTTAGTAAGTTACCTCAGTGGGTCTCAAACGGTTTGGTCACAAATTATTCAAAAGATTATTTCCGCGGCACACCTTCATATGATCATTATAGTTATTAAAAAAAAGAGAATAAAGGAAAAACAGTTATGAAATACTATATGGCAGTAAAACAAGAATAGAGTTTAAAAGGGGAGTGATTAGTAAAATATCCATAAAGAAAAAGTACATCTGTTTACAGTTCTGCTTCATATGGGTGTTGAGAGAGGTATCCTTAGATCTCTTCATTTTGCTCTCAAAGTGCACCAGATTGATGCATTTAACTTCAATATTTAAAAAAAAAATCTTCCCGGGGGAGCATCCCACTCATAAAAAATACCACTTTACCCCTGCCTATATGCCGTGAGCTGATTATCGAGCCTTCATTGTAACAGTCGCGGGTGTACTGTGTGTGTGCGTGTGGGGAGTGTTGCAGTAAAAAATGCCACTGTAGTGCTGCCGCCACTGTGGGCTAAGCCCCGAATGTTTTCAGGTCCAGGCGACGCCCCTGAACAGAAGTATTCTAGTCAGGAGCTGAGGTTGGAACAGAAGTATCCTAGTCACTAGCTGAGGTTGGAACAGAAGTATTCTAGTCACGAGCTGAGGTTGGAACAGAAGTATTCTAGTCACTAGCTGAGGTTGGAACAGATGTATTCTAGTCACTAGCTGAGGTTGGAACAGAAGTATTCTAGTCACTAGCTGAGGTTGGAACAGATTTATTCTAGTCACTAGCTGAGGTTGGAACAGATGTATTCTAGTCACTAGCTGAGGTTGGAACAGAAGTATTCTAGTCACTAGCTGAGGTTGGAACAGATTTATTCTAGTCACTAGCTGAGGTTGGAACAGATGTATTCTAGTCCCTAGCTGAGGTTGGAAACAGAAGTATTCTAGTCACTAGCTGAGGTTGG